TCCCCCACAGAAGGTGCAATGCTGATTAAGAGCCACTCAAAGTACTTTTGATATGTGCGGCTGCCACTGTGATTTGGTAGCTCACTGTCAAGTGTGAGGAGAAAGAACTGCCTTATGCAAAAAGTAAACAGGAGAAAACACTCATTCCATCTAAAACTGAACACCAGAGAGTCAAAGTTCTGAATAATAAGCTTTTGTTACAAAAGGAACTAGCAAACATGGAACCCTGTTATATATCCCACAGGATTTACAGTAGTCCACAGAATAAAATTCTGCCTGAGTTTGTCATGTCTGTCATTCTCTTTATATGTATATAATACCAGTAACAATAATATCTAAAGTGTGTGTATATGTGTATGTCTTATGTATGTGACACTTTTATGCTGGGTATTTTATATGCATTAACTAATCTAATCTTATAGTAACCCTACAAGACAGGTATATTATGATCATCATTTTATAGATGAGAAATGGAGGTTATGTAAACTGTCTCAAATAATGTCAGAAAGTGGCAAAGCCGCAGTTAGGGGAAAAAAGAAAACCCTCCCAACTGTAGTTTTAACTACTGTGCTATATGTATTTCTAAATATTAAAGTACATTTACATAAAGGTTCATGAGAAGCACAGGTACTTGTGATCTCTTCATCAATTGGTTTAGTATGCTGTGTACTTTAGTACGAAAGTTACTATAAATTCAAACATGTTAATTGATGGCATGTCTCTTGTATTTTCTTTCCAGAGAACAGCTGAGACATAGATGAAATTCAAGACTATAACCAAGGCTCGAGTAATTCCTTCCTTACAGCAGAGATCAGAAAATAAAGAAATTACAGTTACAGTCCTCTATTAGCTGTCCTAAAGAAATCACACTTTGAGACCAAGTGCGAAGCTACGGTGGGAGGTAATGTTCCCAGTGAGAACATGAATTACAGCTGATTCTCATTATTTGCAAATTCCGTATTTGAGAATTTGCTTACTCACTAAAATGTATTTGTATCCCTGAAATCAATACTCATTAAAGTTTTCCAGGTCATTGGGGCACACAGGCAGGATGGTTCCGACTCCCAGCTAAGGTCACAGAAGATCACACTCTGCCTCTTGTTTCAGCTCTTACACTGTAAACAAGTGTCCTTTCTGCAGTACATGTGGTGCCATGGCTTTTCACATTTTTTGCTTTTTGTTGATGATTTTGATTTTTAAGATGGCCCCTAAGTATAGTGTTGAAGCACTGTCTTGTGCACCCAAGTGCAAAAAGGCTGTAACACGCCTTACAGAGAAATCATCTGCTACACAATCTCCATTCAGGTATGAGTTATGGAGCTGTCGGCCATGAGTTCAATATTAACAGACCAACCATATATTACACAAGGTGTCTTTAAACAGAAACATATATAATACAAGGGTATGTACTGATCTTAGATGAAAATCCTCTGACTAGAAGTAGGAATGTGGCCCCATATTTCTCTTAGGAAAAACGATTCAGTATTCGCTAATTCAGTGTTCACAGCAGCTTTATAGGCTGTAATTACCATGACTAAGAACAGACAGTGTCTTGTTGAGGAATAGTGAACACAGTGTGTGTATGTGGACTCTTAGTTATATGTAGCTTTTCTAACCATATGTTATTTAGGATAAACATGAGTAGGCCATTGATGGGGACATCTCCCACTCCGAGCAATAGGACTGACCATCAGGGGTAAAGATTCACAAGTAAATGGCAAGAAAAGCAAAAAACACACTGACTAAAATGTGTAAAGATGCATGCATAGGCCCTAGAGAAGAACAGATGGCAGGATTTAATGCTCTGCACGGTCACCTGGGCTGATCAGCTCAAGGAGCTTTGATGAAACAAGAAGGAAAGAGAAACAAATTGTTACCTATAGACAATCTTTTAAAAAACGAGTATTATCTTAACCCTAAATCTCTCAAGGTCATTATTCAACTATTAGAGTGAAATTATGAATAACATAAAACATTTTTAGGAAAATTTTCAGGATTTTTTCCCTTCACATACTTGGAAAATATTCAGAACTCTTTGGCCAATAAAATGTTTTCAGTAAAATTTGAAATATGAAATTGAATGCATAGGTGATTTTTTGGAGCTAGTTGCTAAAATTTAAGAAAAAGCACTGAGAGAATACAACCAGTTTTAGTGATCAAAGATGCTGTGTATATCTGGCTGCTATTTGTCCACTGCTGGCAGGGCTGTGCCCTTCCTTGAGCACACAGAAGCAGCAGCAAAGTTCTCCCCAAACTTGAAAAATGCCTTTGTCCTCTGATAATTAAGTTCCATGGTACCGTTTCCATTCCATAAGATCAACCACCTAAGAACTAATTTCTCACTGTGTGAGAAGAATCTTCCAAATTGTAACCAAGGCTACAGCAGGAGGATAAGGTGTGTCAGCATGTCTATAGCTATCATGTAATCTACTGTGTTACATCCTGTACAAAGAAAATTTGAACTGGATGGTTGGCAGAATCTAGACAATATTAAAGAATAAGACTGTGCTGGTATGTCTGCTCCTGTATCCAGAAAAGATACTCAGACCACCTGGCATGAGAATTATATTCCTTTGGCAGATATATATTGTGCCAATCTACCATCCTCACTGTGTCAAGGACTTCTCCTTTATGCCCCCTGGAGTTCTCGGACCCAAGTCTTCTCCAGCCAGAGAAGCCTGCTCTGAGATCATAGGTGTTCCTTTGAGGCCTGCTGCATGTGACAGGGGAGCTAATGCCTCCTAAAAGCAGTCCTCAACCAAGGACTGGTGGATAAATAAGAATTGCATGCTTTACTTGGTCTCCCAGAGTTTCATCTCCTGTCCTCAGATGAAGCTCTAGTTGACCACAGCAGTGATAGGATTGATAGCACAATCTTAACTGACTACCTTCACTTTCCCACTCTCCCACCAAAATCTCCTTCACCTTCCCAATAAATTACTTGCATTCAAATCCTTTTCTCAGAATCTTACTTCCCACAGTTTCTCTACAAATGGTTCTAGTCTCTGGTACAATTATATTTCTCATTGTATGTCAAATAATTGGTTTCCTGGTTTATACATTGGTCTTTTACCAGGGCACCAGTAACTGGGTAAATGGACAAAACACAGAGGGTAAACAAGCAGAGTCAAGAATTAGTCTAAAAAAATTATTACTTTGTGGAATATTCTCTCACTTACTTAGTAAGTGTTTAATCTCATCTAGCACAGAGCTGTATAGATTTGTTGTGAAATTTGAGTTCCTCCCCAAAGTCAGAGAAAGAGAGAGAGAAAGAGATTGACTGGGGGTAGGATGTATATAATTTAATAATTATGTAGATGTAACAGGTTTCTACAATATCAACCATTTCAACAAAATTACTAAGGTAGACAGGCAAGGAGACCCACGTGAGGTAGATGCTCCATGTCATGATGATGTGCATAAGAGCAAGGGCACAAATGTGGTTCTTTCTAGGTACCAGGCGGGCTTTAGATATCATTGTAAGAATTAAGTGAGTTGGTAAACATAAAGTCACTTACTGGAAAAAAAAGTCTATAATCTACTTATATATTTCTGGTAACCAATACCAGTAAAGAAAAAAATCCAAACCAAAACCAATATTGACAAAAAGTTCAAACAGTTTGATGTCAGTCTGGGGAAAACCATGGTACCGGGAACAACCTGTGAATTGAACATCAGAGCTCAAATCCTGGGTCTGCCACTTTTTAATTATTGGACTTTAATACCTCCAACCTTATCCCCTGTTCCATCTGTGAGCTGAAGAAAGCAGGAGCAATCTCTCAGGGCTGCAGGAATGATCACTCTGCACAAGACCTATTTTAAAAAAGGAGGCCTTTTCCCTCGGTCACAGATAAAGAAGAAAATATGTTTGCTTAAATCGCCAGTGTTTTGTCATTGGATACAGAGAGAACAGAGAGACACATGTTTATGTGAGACAGATAGTGTCCCCGCCTTCCATAAGTAGTATGTGCATTTTGTTTTTTTTCCAATAACATTACGATTATTATTCGAAGAGAGATAGAGTCTTTCAGGAGGCTTGCACATCCAGTTCATCTGGACTATACTGGAGAACTGCAGTCAGCAGGCATCACCTCGACCACAGGAAGTCTTTTGAGACTGAAATAGAAGAATGATGGCGGCCATACTGTTGGGTCTCTGAGCTATCATGGAAATGGAATGTCTACCTTTTGTGCTTTTGTAAGTAAACTTAAGAGTGCCATCATACTGCTTTTTCCCCCCACATTGGTAGATAATACGTCCTTCTCCTACCAGCTTTTATTAGCAGAATAATAAACATCATTTTCAGCTGATCAGGTGCAGCAAAGTCTGTCACTATCTTCATAGGACCTACTATAATCTCAATGGCCTTTTGTCACCAGCATACTATGTGTTTTCACACAGCTCTAAATCAAGGGTCCAAGAAGATAAAAATCATTACAAATCTAATTGTATAATGCTTTGAGGTCTTACTGAATATTTTTTTATTTTTTTTAAAGATTTTATTTACTTATTTGAGAGAGAGAGAGTACGAGCAGTGGGGAGGAGCAAAGGGACAGGGGAGTAGCAGACTCCCTGCTGAGCAAGGAGCTCCACGTGGGGCTTGACCCTGGAACTCGGGGACCATGACCCAAGCTAAGGACAGATGCTTAACCCACTGAACCACCAAGTACCCCTGTATATTGCTTTAAGTTTACCTTATTTTTAACAGAGTTTCCTTTCTATTTATTTTTAAGATTTTATTATTTATTTATTTGAGAGAAGATAGAGCACTCAGGTATGAGGAGGAGAGGCAGAGAGAGAGAGAGAATCCCTACCAGATTCCACACTGAGTGCAAAGCCCAATGCAGGACTTGAACTCCCAACCTGGAGGTCATGACCTGAGCTAAAACCAAGAGTCAGAGACCCAACCAATCGAGCTACTCAGGTGCCTCGGAGTTTCCTTTTTTAAAAAAGAAGTAGGGTGAAAAAGGCAGGCAGCTGAGGCTGCAAGGAGCACTCACCCCCACAGACAGTGCCGTCCAGGCCTTCACAGCGGCGGTCGTCACACTCGCACGTCTTGCCATACACCCTGCGGTCTCCGGGAGGGTAGCAGGTGCACTTGCCACATTCACATTTACCTGCGTAAACGCACGGGGAGAGCCCACAGGTTAGGAAAGTCACAGAATCAGCCGGGCTTTCCACTCCAGAAGCACATCGGGAAGCCTGTTCCACTCTGAGCCTGGTCATAGGTTTGCAAATCACTTTTCTTACCTGCCTTTGGGAAGTCTAAAACAAGCACAAGTGCCACAGAAGCTGGCGAGTCGGGGGGAGCTGAAGCGACACTGCTGTTTCATTAATTTTTGAAGACTAATCCAGTTAGGAAACACTGGGTATTTCATATTCAACTTGGTTTGATGATACCAAATGTTATCTATTTTGACAGCATTTAGTATAATGTCATTTACAGTATATTTTTATATATTTTTATTTTGGGTCTAGCTGCCACATAAGAAAAGAATGCTCACAGGGACATTTCAAGGTGCTCTGTTATGACTGTTTCTAGACACCGATTTTGTAATTGATAGAACTCATTTTACCACGGAACACGTGTCAAAATGCATGACCCAAATCCCTTTACCATTCTTGACTTAAACTTTACTATTCTTGTCTAAACATTTTTCTCTTTTGGAATGAGGCTGATTCACAGGAATTCCTCAACTATTATCATTATGGCTGTTGTCATTATTTCTTGAGCTGCAACTATGTGTCAAACACTATAATTCTTTGAATTCCATTATTTTGTTTTCATCATTCCACACGCTGACTAGCATTATCACTATCATTTTACTAAACAGGAAACAGAGGCGTACTGAAGCCAAGTTCTTTCCATGGTGAATCGGCTCATAAGGAATAGATTCCAAATTTATACCTATTCTTTTTTTTTTTTTTTTTTTTTTTTTTTTTAATTTTTTTTTTTTTAATTTTTTTTTTTTTTTATTTATTTATGATAGTCACACAGAGAGAGAAAGAGAGAGAGGGAGAGACACAGGCAGAGGGAGAGGCAGGCTCCATGCACCGGGAGCCCGACGTGGGACTCGATCCTGGGTCTCCAGGATCGCGCCCTGGGCCAAAGGCAGGCGCCTAAACCGCTGCGCCACCCAGGGATCCCTATACCTATTCTTATGAACCTTAAAGTTTGTGCCCTTAACCATGAAGCCATACCACATCTTAATATGCCCAACGCAGCACCACGAGGCTATGAGAAAGAAAATTCCTTTTGCCTGAGGAATTGGTGCTAGACTGGCAGAAAATCAGCCGGGTGACTACCCGGAGACATCTGTTACTCTCTGTCATTAGCCCGACCAGCGTAATTACACACCCACTGAAATGATCATAAGATGCCTAGGGGCTGACCCTGCAATGTTGTTAGTTATTCTGGTGCTGCATTTGTATCTTGTTAAAGAAATTCTGAGTTGGTAGATGATGGAAGAAAGGAAAATTAGTATTTAGAATCATATAATTTTAGAGCTGTAATTAAAGATAATCTAATGCAGTGATTCATAATCTTTTCTGGCAGAAGCAGTAGGGTCATTGTCCTTCTGAGAATCTGGTGAAAGTGCAGTAGAGAGTGTTGTCCTGACTGCTCTTCAACCGGTCTCTCTTCCTATTTGAAGACAGGCTCAGGTTCAGGGGGAGGCAGAGTCCCTCTCCTTCCCCAGTGATGTTCCCTCTTCCCATGCCCTGGTGGACAGAAGAGGGACACAGCGGACACCTTTGGCCAGGGGTGGCCACAGTTGATTCTTGAGAGTGAATGCAAAGACACAGGGTCCGTGGCGGAGTAGCAAGAGCAACGGCACTGCAATGAGTGTCCAGGAGGGGAGGAGCTCAGCACACAGTTCAAAAGTATTGGTGACCAGGGCTAGTTCTTTGCAGGGTCTTGCTCCCCTTGGGTGCATGAACTGGTGGTCCAAGCTTGCACTCTGCACCTACACCTTTCTCATAAACTCCTTCTCCTTTCCAGTTCATGAAGTTGCTTTCTATTGTTCACAGAAAAGAACTCTAACAGGTAGACCTCAGATCTCTCCATGGAAAAATATACCAGCACACATTTTTTTTTTTTTGTAAAATGTCAAGAGGATCCATGACTTCCCACAATTTAATAGATGAGGAAACCCAACCAAGCTGAGGCTAAATGATCTAAGGACAGCAAAGTAGACACTAGCAGGGTTGGTGCTAGGACACACTTTTTTTTCTTGAGCCCCAGTGACCTTCTGGTGCACATAAATATACACTTTCCATGCTGTATGTGTGAATAACAATAAAAATCAAGACTGTGGAGATAAAGAGGCTAACTATATACCATCAGCAGTGCAACCACATACAGTTGACTAGTCCTTCATGGACATATATGGGAAACATCAACCACATAATTCCTGCATGCTAGGAACACAGTCTTAATGATCAAGTCAACATAAATGTTTCTGTTTGAGGGCATATCTGTTTATGGTAAGAATTTTATTAACATTTTAAGGCATTCAGGAAGTTTCCTGGATAGGTATTATTAGATTCTGTGACTCTGGAAAAGATCGAAATAATGGCATATGGGGGCGCATGGGTGGTGCAGTCAGTTAAGCAACCAACTCTTGGTTTCAGCTCAGGTCATGATCGTAAGATTGAGCCCCACATCAGCCTCAGTGCTGAGTGTGGAGTCTGCTTGGGATTCTCTTTCTCTCTGCTGCTTACCCTCATGTTCCCTCTCTCTCTCAACTAGATAGATAGATAGATAGATAGATAGATAGATAGATAGATAGATGATAGATAGATGATAGATAGATAGATAACAGTGGCATATGTGTTCAAATATCTATACTTCATTGTTTTCCTTATGGATAGTTTGTCTTGTCTTTCTTCTACAAAGTGTCCTAATTGGTCCTAGGTCCGTTTCCCCCCCCCCCAGTAGATTGTAACTCATGCATCTTTTTCAAACATCAGAGAATAATTAACCACTTTGCAACTCTTGGTGTGGCTTTGTGTGTGTGTGTGTGTGTAGTCATGTATCTGTTGGAGTTATAAAGCTCTATTAAGCCAACTATTACCTGAATTACTTCATAGATCTAGCCTTAATACAGTTTATAGGATATAGTAGCTTCAGATGGAAAGGCAAAAAATCATAAATCAAGACAGGTTAACGTATTACAGATAGAAAGGTAAAGAAGAGTAAATTGTTTATGCAGTCCACATTTTAAAGTGCATTATTTTGCTGCCTTAGTTCACAACATTAGTCTAGTCACTACCAAGACATATACTTGCCAGGTAAACTTCTACTCATCTTTCAAGATTCAAAGTAAATTTCACCAAACCCATGATACTTGCACCCTCCTACTCACATACCTTCACAAATACAGCAGAATCAGCTGCCTCCTCATGTATGCTCATGATGTTTGAATCAATATTTACTGAACAGATGCACTAAACAATAATCACATGTAAATGGCTTGGTAATAATATTCCCACAACACATGAGGTTTAATGGTAAAATTTGAATTTAGAATAAGATGTCTTTCCCAAAATACATACACCTTTCCAATTGCCAGAAAGCCTTCATTTGTATCTCCCACAGTTGCATCAATGAACTATGTCCACAGCAAGCTCATCATCTTTATTCACAAATTTACTTCTCCTCCCATTGTCCTGTTACCAGGAGAAGATAAACACCGTTTGATCTGTCACCAAATCTTAAAAACACCTGATGACAAAGCTGATTCCTTCCTCCCCTTGATGAGCTATTCTTCTCCTTCCAATTTGAAATTTCATGAGATCCTTTTATAAAATTTAAATTCAATTAATTAACATATAGTGTATTATTAGTTTCAGAGGTAGAGTTCAGTGATTCATCAGTCTTATATAACACCCCGTGCTCATTACATCACATGGCTTCCTTAATGTCCATCACTGAGTTACCCACTCAACCTTCTCCCCAAGATCCACTTTCTTAAAACATGCTTATGATTATGTAATTGCCTTTCACATGATAGTCCCACATAGACCTTCAAGGTAGAGATCAAATTCCTCACAGAGCTCTCCATCCAGGTCCAACTCACCTTTTGAAGCATATATTCAATGTTCACAGTACCCATGTTCAGAAACTTTGCTTTTTGATCCATTTCTTCTTACTGTTGTGAGCTCTACCACTTTCTCTGTACAATCCAAGTCACTTTTCAATAGTTAGCCCACATCTCCTCTCTTCTATGCAACCTCCTTGTCATCCCTATTCGGTTACCTAGAACACTTGTTCTTTCTTTCTGATCTCACAGCAATTTGTTCACACCATTATAAGATCACTGAATGCAAACTTTATATTGAATAAGCACGTACTTGAATCTGACCACAAATACTGAATTGTTCTTGGTGCAGGCTGACAGTGAGATTTGTGTCCTATTGGTAGCCTGCAAAGTTCTCTGTTGGTGGAGTAGGAAACACTGAGATAAGAATTTATTGTCTTTTTTTTAAATAATAAATTGAGTCAATTCTCTTTTCTTTATTTGCTAAATGATATTATTTCAATGACTGTTTTAGTGTTGTGGAGCTATAAATGTGGCTTCTCAAACACCTATCAATATTTGCATAAGTAAGAATAAAGGATAATGGGGGATCCCTGGGTGGCTCAGCAGTTTGGCGCCTGCCTTTGGCCCAGGGCGCGATCCTGGAGTCCCGGGATCAAGTCCCGCATCGGGCTCCCTGCATGGAGCCTGCTTCTCCCTCCTCCTGTGTCTCTGCCTCTCTCTCTCTCTCTCTGTGTCTATCATAAAATAAATAAATAATCTCTTTTTTTAAAAAAAGGATAATGGAAGTTTGCATGCCTAGCATTAATAAGTGCCATTTTATATTACAAAACTGAGAGGAAAATATGAAGAAAGATATACTCAAAGAAACACAAATAAGCCAAGTAATTTTTTTGTTTGTTCTTAATTTTTTTGTATATTTTTTATTGGAATTCAATTTGCCAACATATAGCATAACACCCAGTACTCATCCCATCAAGTGCCCCCTCAGTGCCCGTCACCCAGTCACCCCATTCCCCCGCCCACCTCCCCTTCCACTACCCCTTGTTCATTTCCCAGAGGTAGGAGTCTCTCAT